AGAGAGAGAGAGAGAGAGAGAGAGAGAGAGCGCGCTGAATAACTATCGAAAGTGGGAGGTACTTATAGAATAGGTGTGCGATCTTGTACCCAAGAAACTGTCACCAATTCGTAACATCTCAGACATACGACTTTGACATATATGAATATCAGTCTCTTCCTGTTAATTGTAAATTCTATATACATCAATACATTTTTTAAAAAAACATATGATTTGCTATTTCCACACAAAGAAGCATTGTATGGATCCCATATATTCTCGCTCGCAGATTTTATCCAACAAATGGCTCCACTGCACTACTGAGTGGAGGTAATAAATTTCTTCCATTTATTGAAACTTAGTATTAATTACCTTGACAGTAAAATTCAGCATGAGGCAATCTGGATGAGCTTCAGCCAATTTGTAGAAGAGGTCCCTCCATGTAGTATGTGCTATCATTTGCTCAAGCCATGCTGGAGTCTGCCAAAATGAACGGAACAGAATCATACGGATTGAAGGGACAAGTAAATCAGCGTGAGTCTTTAGAAGATCTTTACAATTGCTCCAAAGGTAAAATAGGACAGTGAAAGGCACAAAGCATTTTCTGCTGGAGACCTGAGCTCAAAATCTGGGATCAACTATCAGTCACTTCACACACTGCTGTTTCCAAAGCCCCATCAATGCATGCTGGAAAACAGATGAACAAAATATGAACGCCTTTTGAATATCCAGGTCAGTAAGTCACGGGGCACTCTGGCTTCCTGATCTGTGCACACGATAGGTGTCGGGATTGCACTTTTATTCAAATGTAAGAAAAAATACAGTTTAGGTGTGCGTTGCAAAAAAAAAAAGTATCAGGCAGCTCTAGAGGATATAATGCACAGCAACTATTTCAAACTCAGTTCCCCTCAGAGAAATGGAAGGTGCCCAGCACAGCTCCAGTTCTGATGCTAAGCACATCTGAACCCAGATGGGGGAAAAAATCATCTGAGAAACTCATGTCATGACTGGGCAAAATCCAGAATACCAAATCCAGAATATGAAATCTTGACCCAACTCACAATTATATGTGCAGAGATTCATTTTTTAAAAAGCTCTCTGTTTCTCTGCAACTAGGGGTGCACACACACAAAAAAAATTGGGATTTTTTGGATTCAGATATACTGGACTCCAAAAATTCAAGATTCCCGAAAAAAAACCCCAAATTCTACCTGCCTTAGAGAAGCCTTTTAAGTGAACTGGATTTTAAGCCAGATATTATTATTTTGCTTTGCCAGCTTTAGCACATCTGTCTTACCTCGCCTTCCTCTGTGAAAATGGAGTCTGCTTTTCGGGGGTCAAAGTGTTTAATGAGCAAGCTTTTTAAATGGTTTTCCACAGTCTCCTGGACTTGAATTGGTTCAACACCTGTAACAAGAGGTCACTGTGGAGGAATCTGTTTGCAAAGCAGCAGCTTAACACTTTCTGTGACAGTCCCTGGTAACAACGGCTCATGTCGTCCACCATATTTAATTACAATCAAAATGCATTCATCTTACGGTAGTATCACTTCTGCCTGACGGCTCTCATGTGATTTCGTGTTCACTTCTTAAAGAGTTAGCTACCTACTAAAATCATCCATTAAAGTGCAGCCAGTTCTGAACCAAAGGTCCATACTTTGCCAAAAGTAGTCAAAACTTTAAAAACAAGATTGAAAAGGAGTGAACATTCAAAAGGGAATTTTATTTAATGATGCTTTTTAAAAAAGGTGCTTGTTAACAAAGCCAGTTTGGTGTAGTGGTTCAGTGCACGGACTCTAATCTGGGAGAACCGGGTTTGATTCCCCACTCCTCCACTTGCACCTGGCTGGATGACCTTGGGTCAGTCGCAAGCTGGACGTAAGCTAAGGAAGAGAACACGAAGCATTGAACAGGAGTCCAGTTTCATCTTGAAAGACTAGCAACATTTTATGCCAGTTTGGTGTCGTGGTTAAGTGTGCCGACTCTAATCTGGGAGAACCGGGTTTGATTCCCCACTCCTCCACTTCCACCTGCTGATGTGACCTTGGGTCAGTCACAAGCTCTGGCACAGCTGTCCTTGAAAAAGAGCAGTTTGTGTCAGAGTTCTCTCAGCCCCACCCACCTCACAGGGTGTCTGTTGTGGGGAGGGGAAGGGAACGGAGTTTGTAAGCCGCTCTGAGACTCCAAGTGAAGGGCGGGGTATAAATCCAATCTCTTCTTCTTCTTCTTCTTTTTGTGATTCTGGGGTCCTGAGGAAAAAGCCCAGGATGGGCCCCCAGAATTACTACCACCCCATGCTGAGCCCCTACCACTCATTACTGGGGTCCAAGGAAGCAGCAACCCCAGCCCCGTGTGAGATGGATCGGAACCATGGCCACCCCTGGAAGCCAGCTATCCAAACCCCCAGATAGGATGGGCAAGGGCAGCTGCTGCTATCTAGCCAACTGCCCCCCCTGTTGGGGACCATGGGTGATTGTGCCCCCCTAGGTGTGAGGCCTAGGACAGCTGCTCCTGCTGCCCATTGGTTAAGACCCCCCCCCTTGCTTGTTAATCTTTCAGGCTAGTCATCAGCACTAACTTTGTGTAGGTGTTGCAGAAAAGCAGTGGCAACAGATGCAATTTTTGGCAATACCTGTTTGAATGAGCCACTCAGCCAACAAGTTTACTGTTTGAGCTACTGCAGTATAGTTTTCTGATAAGAGCTGGATGACGTTCTCCGGGGAGCCGCCTGCCTGGAAATACCTATAAAAGGACACAGACCATCCTTCTCTGAGACAAACCTGAATGAATCAAAGGCCCAGAAAGCCACGTAACACGTCCAATCCCTTAATCCGCCCATCCGTTGCATTCACCTTTTTAAAGTATTAAAAATGGAAGGCTCCATTATGTAATCTCGGGTGGAAAACTTGTGCAAATTCCTGCTGGACCTCAGCATCGTCTTCTTCACCATATTCATCATCTTGCTGCTTAGAGAAGTGCAAAAATTGCAAACCGTTAATTTTCCCATCACACAGGATTTCTTTAGTAATATACTAACTAGGGTGAGGTTAGGCAGATTTACCCTTGGGTGGGTTTTCAGGTACCCTAATAGAGTTCAGGCGAGAAATAAACCACATTCTTTCAATACAGGTATGCATAAAAACTTGTATATAAATGGGACAAAGCAGCTTGTTTTTGTGGTAACAAAACAAACGCTATTCCTTGCCAAGACAATTATTCTTCTGCCCTGCACACAGGTCCCCACAGCAATGCTCACATCCTGGTGCTTCAAGGACTTTAAATAAAACAAGGTATTTATCAAATACCGGGACAGGCAATGTAACACCCAGTAGCTACATCTAGGTTAAGATGAGCATCTGGGGAAAAAGTCATGACACACTAAGATGTATGTATGAAGCGCAAAGCCCTAGGGCACTGGATGAAGTCATAGAATCGGGATTCTTACAGCACACAGATCAAATTTTTTATGGCTCTAGGGCTAAATGTGGCTCAGTGTGGAACCAAATATGGCTTTTAAAATAAGAAAACAAAATCTTTTAAGTCCTGGACTCATGATACAGGAGGAATAAGTGAGATGTGAGAATGGCAGGCAAAGATTTTTAGGAGACTGAAGGGCTTTCTAGAGACGCTCACAGAGAAATGATAAAGGGAAAGCAGAAAGGGAAATCAGAAAAGAACGCAAGTACAAACCATGCACAGATTTATGCCAGTGCACTAAAATAACAGCACAGGGTGCTCTTGTGTTGATAGTTACTCATTGTGAGATCTGGTGCACACCACTTCTTAATAAAGGACTCACAACTGTCAGTGTTTGGCAGTGGAAATGTTACAGATTATTAACCAGTACGTTAATTATCCATAACGTTAATACCGTATTTTTCCAGCTATGCCAATGGGGTCTCTTATTCTGGCTCTCTCACTCTGACATTTAACAAATTTGGCAATTTCCTTAAACTGGGGAAACATTCCTCTCTCTCTGCAAATAAGTAGCCTTGTAGTTCTGGCAGTTTTAGGACAGCTGTATCAATTTACATCCTCCTGCACATTTTGATCAGAAGCACGTTCCAACAAATTCGATGGGCCTTACCCCTGAGCAAGCGTGAACACACTTGACATTAAAGGCCATATCTCCCCATATACACACATTCACACTTCTAGCTAGGTCAGAGTTACTTCCAGTTGCGCTAAGAAAAAGCACTCCTGGTTGATGATTTGTGGCCATGGTTGTGCTGATCATGACTGCAATGCAGAATGCTTGTTTGGTTACCTTTGCACAAGTCTGTAGTGGGGAAAAGAGTTGTGACTTGGAAAGGGACATGCTTACACATCTGAAAAAAGCTATGATGATTAAATAAATCTGAACATTTATTCCCACATAAACTTTCAGGAACTAGAGCCCACCAGCCAAGAGGCTTCTACTTATTTTTACTGCAATAGACAGAAATGACTTCCCTTCTTGAATGATAATGAAAAATAAACTGAAATTACTGAAATTATTCCGGGGAGAGGATTAACAACATATTTTATCATCATCATTATTAACCACAACATATTTATCAAGTTTCATCTGTTTATTGTCTCATTATCTGCTTCTTTTATTATTATTAATTTAATTTACACATTTATGTACAGCTATAATGCTACAGCCTTCAAAGCTGTTTATAATTCAAAACAAGGTAAAACAGCAGGGGGCGGGTTCAGGCAAGAAGAAGGAGGAAGAGACTAGATTTATACCCCACCGTTCACTCGGAGTCTCAGAGTGGCTTACAATCTCCTTTCCCTTCCCCTCCCCACAACAGACACCCTGTAAAGTACGTGGGGCTGAGAGAGCTCTTTCGAGGACTGCCCTTTCAAGGACAGCTCTTGTCAGAACTATGGTTTGCCCAAGGTCATCCAGCAGCTGCAAGTGGAGGAGTGGGGAATCAAATCCGGTTCTCCCAGATTAGAGTCTGCACACTTAACCACTACACCAAACTGCTTTGTTACTAATCTGCTGTTTTAAAAGGGATACACAAATTACAGTAAGCGCACATAGTATTCGTGCATAGCATACACATGAATTCTTCCTTCGTATATGCAGTGAATAATTATCTTGTTGCATTCAATGTACATACATCTGGACATACGATACAAACCCCATATTTATCCAGGAACTGTTTCCCAGTTTCAAATGCAACGTTGGCTTTTTCTGACAAACAGGTGCACACACAAACATACAAGATGTTTGTGAGTTCACTTTATTATGTGAGCTTGGCTTACAAGAGCTAGCGTAGCCTTGTGGTTAATGCGTTCAAACTGGATGGTCCATGGGCTGCTCTCTCTCAACCTCACCTACATCACAATGTTGTTGTGAGGATCATATCAGGAGGAAAAAGCCATGGAACTTGCTAAAGGACCCCAAGCAAGCCACTCTCTCAGCCTATTCTCTAACAAAAGGGATCATGGTGAACAAGGAGTCCAAAAGTACAACAAACACCATATGAAGCAATCCAGTAAATAATATAATAACAATAACAGTCTTTATATTCAATAGATAGAGATTAAATTCAGTAAATCAATAGCCGCAGCATAATGAGCATCTACCTACCTACCTACCTACCTACCTACCGTACCTACCTATCTATACACACAAACACCAACTGGTGTTAATTCTCACATGCAAAGACTCTTTAATTTTTCTTCTGTTGACAGAATGAAGCAGTCGACACGCTCCTCCGGTTTGTAAATAAGCGGTTTCAGTTGAACTTCCTCAGGACTGCAGATAAGACTGGAACCAAACTCTTCAAATATTACAAAAAGCAGAACAGCCGCCTCTAATTGGGTTAAACAGCCGCCTCTTTTCTTTTCAGCTTGGCAAAATGGTTCTCAAGAGAGTCCTGAGGAAGTTCAACTGAAACTGCTTATTTACAGCATGTGGACTGCTTTCTTCTGTCAACAGAAGAAAAATTAAAGAGACTTTGCTTGGTGTGTGTGTATGCTCATTGTGTCGTGGCTATTATTTATTATTTCTTTATTATATTGGATGTACTAGGTCGTCCTTCCCTACAAGCAGGGGTCAGGGCGGCTTACAACAAAATGGTATACAAAAATTCTTAAGTTAAAACCAAACATTAAAACCACCTAAAAGCAGACCAGTAGACTAAATATACAGACAATAGGAAAAAGTTCAGCCCCCCCCAACCTCCTTGTGTGTGGGGGATGGGTTGCGAGGGAGAGTGCCAGATGTCATACTTACTGAATTTATTTTATATATACCCAATGACTTACTGAATTTATTTTATATATATTTATTGAATATAAAGAGTGTTATTGTTATCATTATATTATTTACTGGATTGTTTCACACCGTGTTTGTTGTACTTTTGGACTCTCTCGGCCTAGCCTACCTCACAAGGTTGTCGTGAGGATGAAAGCCGTAATAAAAAGGCCAGGACACCTGGATTTTGGCCCCTGTTGGACATAAGAGTGTTGGGCTGGATGGGCCACTGCTGGCCTGATCCAACACGGCTTCTCGTATGTTCTTACGCTAGGGGATCTGGGGCCAGCCACTAGCCTACCTCACAGGGCTGTTGTGAGCGTCATATCGAAGGCGGGAAGAGAACCGACTAGGCTACCCCTGAGCTCCTTGGCGGCCGGGGGTGTGTGTGTGTGTGGCACAGAGAGAGGCAGGAAGGGAACGAAAGAGAGCAAAGGAGACAAGCGCCCCCGACCGATGGCGACCCTCCCCTCTCCCCCGAGCCCCTCTCACCGCTCCTCCGTCTGCGCCAGCCTCGTCCCCCCACTCGACCGCGCTGCTTCCGAAATAGTCGGGCTCCTCCATGGGCTCCGCCGGCCCCGCCCCGCATCGCCGAGCCCGCCGCCGGCCCCGCCTGCCCCCTCAGGCCAGGCGACGCGGCTGCGCAGAAAAAAAGGCTGGGTGACAGACGCCTCCGGTAGCAAAGCGACCTCTGGTGCCGCCCTGATCAGGCGCATGGGAAACGGACTGGGAACGGGTGGCGGCCGCCGTATAACCGAGGCGGACCACCGATCGCGGTTGTTTAGGGATGAGAGGCAGCTCTAGAGGAGAGGAAAGTCCTCCGCCCGCTTTAATTGGGGTTGCTAGCTGCGTGTTGAGAAATACCTGGAGATTGGGGGGGGGGCCTGGGGGGGGACATCAATAAGATACGATGCCACAGAGTCCACCTTCCAAAGTGGCCGTTTTCTCTAGGGGAATTGATCCCTTTTGCCTGGAGATCAATTGTAATCCCACGAGATCTCCAGCTACCACCTGGAGGTTGGCAAGCCGACCTTTATTGGGTACCGGCGGCTGGAATCAAACGGGGACCTTCGCTATGCAGATTCTCCAGCGCCAAATGCTGCAGGACGTGTGAACAGGCTAATCCCGTGTGTTTCCTCCTTAGTTTTGGAATTTTTACGGAATTGTATCCCACTCTCTGCATCCTGCTGGAATAAAATCTTGTTCTGTTTACCCACTATGGATCGTATTAGACATAACTGACGGGAATCTGGGATAACCGTCTAACAATTTTATTATGCTGTCATAGAATTGTCCGTTTTTAAGCTGCCAGAATAGCTCTGTTTATTTTGGCTGCAACAGACTGTAACAGTTTTTGCCCCCCCCCCCTTACTAACCTGGCAGGAATGTATATTACATATTCTGTTGGCACATTTTGCCCTTCTAGCTGCCTCCTGAATATATTAAGCACATATGAAATTAGGCATTAGTGCTAGGGTTGCCAAATCGAGGTTGGGAAATTCCTGGAGAATTGGAAGGGACCTAGGGAAGGGTGGGGCTTCTTCGGGAAGAACAGGGACTTGGGCAGGGTAGAATACTATAGCACCCACCCTCCAGAATTGAGGGACTGATCTTTGTAACCTGAATTAACTTTGTTGGTCTTCAAGGTACCACTGGACTCAAATATTGTTCTTTTTTAAAATATATTTATTGGGTTTTCAAGTTATAAACAGTAACATAATAGACAATAACATCATCAAAAGTCGACATGTCAACCAAAAATACTTTTTAACAGCAACTAAGTCAAGTAAGAAATTTTCTGGTGTTCCCAAATTCATTCCATTAGTCAACCGCTAATCGAGTACTAATCTCTATATATGGCATTCATCAAGTTCCATACCAACAATCTAATTTGGTGCCAAATTTTACCCATCTCAAACCATCCATTACTCGGGAGTCGCCTAGCCATTCCTCACTACAACTACATTCTAATACCTCTCATTTAATCCAATAAACTATAAATTACTTGTTTCTAATATAAGCATAAATTGTAAGGTTTTATTTTATTTTTATATATTTTATCTTTTTTCTCACTTTTTTGATTTTCAATGTTAGCATCCACCCCCTCTAATTCCTTTCCCCCCCCATCCTCTTTTCATACAATTATTTTACTATTATAATATTCCTTACGTCCCTTCATTTTTTACTAAGTTTTTATACCTTTATTTCATCACCAACCACTTCATTGAAAATTAGTGCAATTTAACTAACCCTTTTCCAACACATTTCCAGAATCTTCTACATTCTACATTCATTCAGACATACACCTAATTATTTTTTACTGATCATAAATCTTCTACATTCAACAATTTCTATATTCCTTCATTATTTTTATTAGTCTCAGATTAATTAGAGTCCATATAATAATCCCTAGCCTAAATCTAATTTATAAATTTCCATTAAACTTTCATCTACAAATTTATTTACTATTTACTATTTTAGCATTTAACACTCCCTTCTATTATTTTCATCCTCTATTATCATCCTTACATCTCCAACCATTATAACTTTTAACAAATTTTCCATAATCATGTTCTTCCGATTGGGCAAACGTCCACAAAAATAGGCAGATTAACCTTTCCGTATATCTTCATTCTCCTTCTATGTATCTGTAGCCTTTTCCCCTGTAGCAACATGTCTCTATGCTTCCATTCCTTGAATGTGTGGTAAATTTTCTCTCAGCTGTTTCCATTAACTCTCAGCAGATCATGCTCCATTGTTGTAATGTTCCCTTTAAATTTCCACTCACATCTCCTTTTCCTTCTCTCTTTCCAGTGCAACCTTATGCATCCAATCTAAAGAGTCTTTTAATTCCCTCTGCAATCAGTTAAGTAGCCTCACCGAGAACGTCACCAAGGTTCCCTTGTAGAAAAATAAACTTACACAGTCCGTCTTCTCCAACATGTTTTCTGGCAGCTATATCTTTCCATTCCAAGCCATTCAGTTCAGGGTAATTTCACTTCCACTCTTCTTTTCTCGATAATTATGAGCACTCACAGTTATTTGTTCTTGAGTTTCTTATCTTATACTGCTGCAATTATTGTAATCCATTTGTTATTTGTTAAAAAGGGGTGGCTGCGGCCTCACAGTTATTTTTTCTTGAGTTTCTTCTCTTATAGTGCTGCAATTATTGTAATCCATTCATTATTTGTTAAAAAGGGGTGGCTGCGGCTCTCTGGAACATGGCGGCCATGTTCCATCCCACGCGCCGCTCCAGCTTCGGGGCAACGGAAGGGGCCAAAAACGAAAGCCCCCTGCTCCAGACCTTTCTCTGGAAGATCTGGTGAAGTCCTCCTGGCAACCGGGAGGCTCCAAATGGAGCTGCAGAGGATCGGGCGGCTCAGAGCAAGCTGAACGCCGCCCGTCACCATACCGAAAAGTGGACAGAACGTCGCCGCACCGCGCTGACCGCAACTCAAACACTGTTCTGTTGCTTCAGACCAACATGACTACCTGCCTGAAGGAGACCAGCTGTAATTCCGAGATCTCTGGGCCCCACCTGGAGGTCTGCAACCTTATAAGTCATGGGTACACTGGATGACAATAACGGGCCCTCCGAGGCATGGGTAGAGTGCTTTAGCACACTGTTTATTTTTATACTTTTATCTCACAGTCAGCTCCGTTCATCACTGTGCCCCTAACACCATCCCCTTCCTGTGGTGGTGCTGGAAAGTGCTGGCAAGTCACACTTAACTTGTAGTGACCCCTGTAAGGTTTTCAGGGCAAGAGACTCAGAGGCAGTGTTCCCTCTAAGCTGAGTTAGTGTGAGCTAGCTCACAGTTTTTTAGCCTCCGGCTCACACGAACTGGGAATGGGGTAGACAATTGATAGAATGAAATGTTTTATATGTTGTATTCCTGAGAAAATAAAATTTGTTTACCAAAAAAAAAAAACAAAGTAGAATTTTTGCTCACAGGACTCCACAGCTTAGAGGGAGCATTGCTCAGAGATGGTTTGCGATTGTCCGCCTCTGTATCACGCCCCTGATATTCCTTTGAGGTCTCCCATCCAAATACAAGCCAGGGCCAGTTTGGCCAGGGATCCTGGAGGGGTCCCCCCTCCTCTTCTGGGCATACAGCAGGGGTCACTGAGGGTGGGGGAGGCAATGCTCCCCCTAAGCTGTGGAGTCTTGTGAGCAAAAATTCTACTTTGTGAGCTACTGGCATTAAGGTTGTGAGAGATCAGTTTGGCTACTGCATGAATTAGTTTGTTCTGGAGCCGTCCTTCCTGAGCTAAGGCAAAAATGTGTGAGCTGGAGGCTAAAAAACTGAGCTAGCTCACACTAACTCAGCTTCGAGGGAACACTGGTGGGGGGTATTTGTGAATTTCCTGCCTTGTGCAGGGAGTTGGACTAGATGACCCAGGAGGTCCTTTCCAACTCTATGATTCTAGGGCCAACCCTATTTGGCTTCCCCAAACGTAAAACAAATCAATGTTCATACTATGGCTGTGCTTCAGTGTTAGATATGGCACTATTGTGCATTTTAGCAATCATTTGTAACCGGATCAAGCTCAGCCACTCAGCAAAACCCAGTTGTGAATGATACAGATATTTGCCAGCCTTGTGCTGTGGCAAAAGTGTATAGCTGCATAGCTGTGTGTTATTGGAGGAGTGGGAATGCTAGAAATGTTAGTACTGGACTGCAAAGTTGGTATTAAAGCCCCATGAAAGTGGTTATAAACGAGGATTCACTTGATAAATCGTGATCATTTCTGGGTTTGAGAAGGAGCTGCATTCTTTTATTGACCACTGGAGACCAAAGGTTGCCAAGGGAGAGATAGGAATACAAATGTAGAAGGATAACAACAACATAAAATATGTTTATAAAGCCACACTGCACTTATCTACTGCTCAAGGTCACGGGTGTCTTTTTTGGCAGGCCAGGAGCCTGAGTTTAAAGGCTCTCCAGACCAAATCACCCTAGCAAAACTCAACAGTCCCAGTTCCTGAAGGATTGAGAATAGTACTTTTGCCTACAAAATCTATAACCACTGTGAAAACCAGACTGGCCTCCTGCGGCTTTCACAAATGGACAAATATTTCATTGAAGACAATTGGCTGTAGGTTTTACAAGCTCAGGAGTTCACCCCACTCATTACAGCTGAGAAGATTTACACCCGGATGCTGGAAGCATTTCGCTTGCGTGATCCAGCGATTATGCATCCAAGATGGATTGCCAAGATTTGTTAGGATTTACAACACGGTATTTATTTGGGCAGAAGATACTACAACAGCTTGGCTTATCTGAGCAAGGTCTTTGGCAAGTTTTTGTTGTTGTTCAGCCGCACAGTCGAGTCCCACTCTTCGCGACCCCATAGACCACATCACGCCAGGCCCTCCTGTTTTCCGTTGCGCCCCGGAGTTTGCTTAATTTCATGTTTGTTGCATCGATAACACTGTCTGACCATATCATCCTTTGCCGTCCCCTTCTTCTTTGACCTTCAGTCTTTCCTTGTTACGTATTTTGTTTTTTTTCATGAACCCCCTGGGTCTTGGGAGATCAGATGCACAATATGAGTTCTGTGCCTGGAGAACACAATGCACAGGCACAGGGAGGTTGATTCAGATTGGG